ATATATTACAAAAATACTTATAATAATAAAGTTTAAATATGTTTTTAGTCTTTTAAATTTAAGATAATTTTTTTTATTTTTCAAATTTAAAAATGATTTTTTTTAATTTCTGTAATTTCAAAAAAAAATCTTATTTTAGTAAAAACATTACATTGAATTTATAATTGTTTCAATTTATCACTTTCAGATATATTATTGGTAACCTGAAAGATTAAAACAAAATTTTTAAAAATTACAAGAGCTAAAAATAATAATTTTAAATTTAAAAGATAAAAATAAATTTATCCTAAATTTAAGAATTTAGGATTTAGGATTTAAATCTAATAACAACTATGAGATCATAAAATTCCAGCAAAGTTAAAAGGTTACAGAACCAGGAATGGGATAGATAGTAAATTTTCATAGTAACTATAGTACGTTTTAAAAAATAGTAAATTTTATTGTTGATTAAATAATTTTTAGTTCATGTAAATATATATAATAAAAAAATCTTTCTTTTAGTTTCTTTTTATGAAAATGTATTATTGAAAGTGACTGCAAGTTGGGCGCTACAGCCTGAAGGAAAATGAAACTAGCAGAAAGCCAAAGTTGGAGTGATAAATTGAGCATTGCAGTGACGAGGATTGATGACCGAATTTGGTCTTGGGGTCTGCATGAAAGTTGTAGGCTTGGATGTTACCTTTCCAATGGCATTGGAATCACCTAAAAAAGAGGTTTAGAACTTCAGTTATGACCTTTTTAGTGAGCAAGGGTCAAGCTATAAGGATTTAGGTAAATTGTTGTAGTTTTTACCTTTTTTAACATGGTAGATGAGGGAATTAGAACCTTAGTTCTTCATGAAAGTTGTAGAAAATCTTCTTGTCTTTCATACGAGATAAATATAAGCATGATAGGAGTAGTATAACTCCCTATACGTCATTTTATGTGAAGGTTGTCAGTGTAGAATAAATGATTTTTGGATAAGTTGCATGTTGATCATGTTGTATGATAGGTGAATTTGGTGAACATGAACAAAATACTTGTGTTTATTGCATGTTTTGTGATGTAGGGTGATGATAATTAGCATTGTTGTGCTATCTTTGTGTATTTAAAATGATAATGAGCATTGGTTTGCTAATTGTTGATTTCATGTTGAAAATGATATGTGCTAATTCCTTTATAGCATATGGTAATACATGGTGTCCCAAGCTATTTTATGATGAATTTTTTATATGGATTATGATGTATGAGGATGTTTAAAGTTGTTTAAGTTGTGATTGAAGTTGATATGCTAAACTACTATACATGTTGTAGGTTTTGCCTTAAGTTATTTAGTTGTTAAATTATTTGGCTATTTTCACTTGATTGTCAAGATGCCATTTCTATTGATGTGCTTAAAGTTGTAAAGCTAATTTGATGTTGAGTTTTTTTTATTACTTTGATGTTTTAAATTGCCCTATAGTTGTGAGATGGATACTGACAATTGTTAAAGTTGAAAGTTGTAAAGTTGTAAGTCATTCTAGATGCTTAAGTTGATGTATGATGTTGTTTTCTCAAGATGTGAATGTTTTAAGGATATGTGTTGGTTATGTTGTTTAAGTTGACATGATGTGAAGTTGAAAGCTGGACTTTGCATGTTGTTAAAGCTGTTAAGTTAAATGCTGAAAGATGAATAAGTTGTTAAGTTGATAAGTTATAAATATGTGAGTTAGATACATATCTTAGTTATGATACGTAGAAACTAGAGGAGAGTTAAAGATGTTTATGAACCTTAATATCCCATTGTGTGGATATAAGTTGTGTTGCACCCTTCAATACGTGAGTTGGCTTCTGAATGGGTATGTTATTTTTAGTTGTCTCCTCTAGGTTCTACGTGGTAAACCGTGTGTGGGCAAGGTCAAGGCATACGTGTATGAAGCAGCCACAATATAAGGGTCAGGCCGAGCTATACTGATTACAAGTGACCAATCGAGTAAAGTATCTAGTTGAAGACTTAGTCTTTAACCTAGTATCGGAGGGTTGTGGTATTTAGAGGGTAGTCGGTGGGCTAATCCCATAGGTGGCTTAGTGTTGCAGACTAATGTTGTGGTAGGCCCATAACCAAACTGTTATATCCTAACATAATACGATACTTTCTTGTTTAAGTGGTGAAACCTAAGAAATCAATCTAGCTAATGCTAACCGTTGTTTCTAGCCTTGTGTTAGTCGTTGTTTCTGGCCTTAGTGTCAACCAATGTTTCCTGACCATAGTATCAACTGTTGTTTCTGGTTTCATATCAGTTGTTGTGATTTGGTAGAGTCAAGTCACTTAAACTACTCACCTCAATAGTAGTAGATCTCTATAGTTGATATGCATGACGATGTATCAATTGATTTATGTGTTTGTAGATTATGTCGTTCTATTGAAGGTGTTGAGGTGGATGATAGTCTAATGTGTGTTTGTGTTGTTTTATGTTGTTTATAATGTATTGATGATATAATTGTACATGTTGTCTAATGATGTGTATCTGTGCATACTGAAAATGGTTAAATTGAAGGTGTAAAGATGTAGTTGTCATCTGATGAAAGTTGTGAGTGTGATATTGTCCAATGACTTTATGTTGTATTCTACACTACAAGGAAAATGCTGATTTTCGACAGAAATTTCTGACGGAAATAAGCAAATTTCCGAAGGATTTTTCTTTTTTCGACAGATTTCCAACGGATTTTAATCCGTCGGAAAAAGTAGCGTCGGAAAAAAAAAATCCGTCAAAAATAATTTTCCGATGGAATTTTCCAACAGAAAATTCCGTCAAAAAATTCCGATTGAAATATCTGTCAAAAAATTCCGTCACAAATTTTTGATGGAAAAATCCATCGGAAATTGCTGTCAAAATTTCTGACGGAAAAATCCGTCGGAAATTGTAATTTTTTTTTAATTTTAATAAATTTATTAATGTAACAACTCTCATATTTGGCCTCTGAAGGGTTCTATTTCACAATATTTCACTGTTTAGCATGTTTTATCCTTACTTGTGCAATTTCTGGGAGACTTCCCAAAAGGTCACCCATCTCAATTCTACTCCAGGTCAAGCACGCTTAACTGTGAAGTTCTGATGATTAACTTGAATGCTATGTCATCTACAATTCCAGAAGACTCATGACCCTAGACCACGGGTTTTTTGAAAAAGCAATCAGCACCTTTCATTGCCTAACAACAAAGGTAGCTTACACAAACCAGGAAAATAACAAAAACCAAAGAGCTAATAAGTCATAAGCACTCCCCATACAGAAGAACAGAGTGAAACACAGCCTTCTGGTTTCTGTCTAGATTGATATTTGCATGGCCACAACAAGCTTGTCTCCAACAAGTAGTTCAATCATAGCCCTTTCCTCCAAATTCACAAAGCCAGGTAGCTTAAAGCACAAATTGGCATGATGCATTCCATGGTAATTGAAATGAAAAATCACTTGCAAAATGGAAAATTTACTGAAATTCAATACAATCATTTTGATTGTTAGATGAAAAAAATCTACTGGTTATTGAATATATGCAAAATTTAACCATCAAATCTTCAATGTTAGGCTCCTGGCTTTTATTGACAAGAACAAACACTAGTGCTTTTTGCTAATTAACCTGTCCGCATCTACCATAGATATTGCCTTAGTGCAGCTGCTCCTTAGAATCCAACTATCTCCTGCATAAACAGAAATAAATTATTTACCCCACATTGTTAACATGGACAAATTAACTACCCTGTGAGGAATGTAATGGTAGTTCTATAAGATATTGTCAAAATAATATAGTCTTTAGTTTTCATCCTATCAGTGGTAGATCTTGCAATTTCATGGGCCGCTTAGTTTCTCTTTTGGGTCTGGACTCATAGGTTGTGTTGCTAACATCTACACTAGCGGAGGCATGACTTAAGTTGGCCAAGCATTATTATAATATATTAATTTGATACAATTGTGAACTCAATGTTTATTAAACCTACTGACTGTAATTCTAGAAATGAAGGTCTTTTCAACTGTATACTTGTATATACCACAGCTAGAAACAAGGGTTTGTGTATATGAAACCTAAGTGTATATACAACATTATTTATGCACTTCATTTTACAAATAAGTTATCTTCGGGCAACATTTAACAGTATAAAAAGAATGGCTCTTGAGTTAAAAAAAACTTTACCTTATTGGCAAGATAACTGTAGTTTAATGTAGAGGCAGCAAAACCAAAAGATTCCATCAGGTGACAGAGATTCTAGCAGCCATCTTTGCAAAAATTGAATATTTGACAACTGAATTGAGGCTCGAGCCACCCTGTCCCTACTTAAGAGATTTAACTTGAATGCTATGTCATCTACAATTCCAGAAGACTCATGACCCTAGACCACAGGTTTTTTGAAAATGCAATCAGCACCTTTCATTGCCTAACAACAAAGGTAGCTTACACAAACCAGGAAAATAACAAAAACCAAAGAGCTAATAAGTCATAAGCACTCCCCACACAGAAGAACAGAGTGAAACACAGCCTTCTGGTTTCTGTCTAGATTGATATTTGCATGGCCACAACAAGCTTGTCTCCAACAAGTAGTTCAATCATAGCCCTTTCCTCCAAATTCACAAAGCCAGGTAGCTTAAAGCACAAATTGGCATGATGCATTCCATGGTAATTGAAATGAAAAATCACTTGCAAAATGGAAAATTTACTGAAATTCAATACAATCATTTTGATTGTTAGATGAAAAAAATCTACTGGTTATTGAATATATGCAAAATTTAACCATCAAATCTTCAATGTTAGGCTCCTGGCTTTTATTGACAAGAACAAACACTAGTGCTTTTTGCTAATTAACCTGTCCGCATCTACTATAGATATTGCCTTAGTGCAGCTGCTCCTTAGAATCCAACTATCTCCTGCATAAACAGAAATAAATTATTTACCCCACATTGTTAACATGGACAAATTAACTACCCTGTGAGGAATGTAATGGTAGTTCTATAAGATATGTCAAAATAATAGAGTCTTTAGTTTTCATCCTATCAGTGGTAGAGTGTGGAAAAAAAATGAATTGGTCCTTTAAAAAGCTTTAACAATTTCGTTGAGAAAAATGTAAAACACAACAGAACGATAGAAAAATATCCTAGTAAAATAAGAGACGAAATTAAACTGACTGAAAAATTTCACCCTAAACCCAAGATGAAACACATATTAGTCAGAATTGGATTGAAAATAGTTAACATAATGACCATCAGTAGATTAAAGAAGCTGATTCATTGGAACACAATTGCATATATAAACAATTGAAAGTAGCTAAGGGATAGTAAATACGAATAAAGAGAATGAATGATTGACTACTTTTTGCTTTCAATGAGTTATAATGAATGATAGACTACTTTTTGCTTTCAATGAGTTATTTATTAGTAACAAGAAAGCATCTCACCAAGTTTAACTCTTACAATAAGCCTCTAGCAATCATTTCTCGAAGCAATTTCTCAGCCTTATCATTCTCGTCTTTTTCAAATAGAGCATAAATAATTATTTCAAAAGTTATAGCATCAGGGATGCAACCTTTCTCTTCCATTTTTGACTGCAATGCCAATGCTTCATCAAATAACCCCACTTTACAAAGTCCATTGATCATAGCATTATATGTCACGACATTCAGATGATGGCCTTTAATCAAAAGATACTGAAAAGCTTCTTGTGCTTTCTCAAGTCTTCCACCTTTGCACAGTCCATCAATAAGTATGGTGTATGTGTACTTATCTGGCTGAATTCTCCAACTAATCATTTTCTTGAATAATGAAATTGCTCTGTCTAGATGACCATTTTTGCATAAAGCATCCAATAAGGAACTGTAGGTAATTATATTGGCAGGTTGACCTCTATCATGCATCTCATCAACAAGATTCCAAACATCAGCTATCCTTCCCGATTTGCACAGACCATCAATAAGTGAACTATAAGTTATTGTATCAGGAATCATATTTTCGCGTTGCATGTCTTCAAAAAGATTGATGGCTTCATCTACCATTTTCTTCTTACATAATCCATCAATCATGATATTGTAGCTATAAACATCAGGTGCCACTCCTATTTGGGACATAGTGTTGAATACATGCTTTGCTTTTCTCACTTCATTAACCATGCAGTATCCCTCCATTAATGTACTATAAGTAATAACATTAGGTTCCACACCTGCTTTTACCATCGAAGCTATCACAATTTTAGCTTCTTTTATCTTTCCTTCCTAAGAAATTAAAATTAAAAATTAAAAATAATAATTAAAAATAAGATTTCCGACGGAAAATTTCGTCGGAAATTTCTAATGAAATTTCCGACAGAATTATTTTTCCGTCAGAAATTTCCGCCAGAATTTTCCTTCGGAAATTTTCGACGGATTTATATTTCCGTCAGAAATTTCTGACGAAAAGTTCTGTCAGAAATTTCCGACAGAAATATAAATCCGTCGAAAATTTCTGACGGATCCATATCCGTCAAAAAAATTTCGTCAGAAATTTACGTTTTTCTTGTAGTGGTTGTATTCTATCTATGATAAAGTTGCCTAGTTATACACATTGTTTGAGTGCCTTGAGTTGTATGATGAGACTTGCTATGATGTAATAAATGATGTTCATTTGAAGTTGTTTATGTTGCAAGTTGTATGACAATGATTTTGTATCCCTAGCTTACCCTATGTTTTCCCTTGTGGTTTGGAACTGCTATGATCATACTTGATATGGGAGCAAGACAAGATTAGTGAGTCGGGTAGTGTTGTTCGGTGGTGAATCACGTCGGAGGTGGTTCCCTTTTGATGTTTATTTTAATATAAATAACATGACAAAAATATTATATATTAATATAACAATAACCTACTAGGTCTCAAAAAAACTTATTAAGAGACATCATGTTCATAATTTTTCTTTTTAAATCTCGAATCCTCCCTTCATTGTTTTTATTTTTATCGAGATTTTTCTTTTTTTTTTTAAAATTCAAATTCTCCTTTTTTTATTTATACTTTTATTGAGATTTATTATTCTTTTGTTTTAAAAAACTCTCAAATAATCACTTCTTTATTTTTGTTTTTATTGAGATTTATTATTTTTTTAAAAATCAATCTTGAATCCACATATCTAATAGTACATCAAGATGAAGACGTGTTCATTTGCAGCTGTCTACGATGGAAACAAGTTAGTTTTAGTTTTGTAGATGAAGACATGTCAATTTTGTAGGTGTCCGTAATGGGGACGTGTCTAATTTGTGTGGACACAATCTGTCGAAGTATCCGAGGTGCGTCCAAGTCCAAGATGTGTTCGAGCTACATCCACGACGTGTCCGAGCGGCATCCACAATGTGTTCGCTCTTTAATAGTGTTAAACTCGGGGACACGGCAATCACATACCGTGTCCATGCAACATAAAAATGAAGTGACCTTTATATGTATGTTATATTTAAGATAAAATAATCACATTAATTAACATTTGAAATCCAAAAGAAAAAAAATTAAATGACATTAATTATTTAAAAATACCTAATTTATGTATTATAAAATTTAACATGCAAATATGATATTAAAGATATATATTAGATGAACTATATATATATATATATATATATATATATATATATATACTTGAAAAGCTCGCAAAAAACCCCAACTGTTGGGGTGCAACTGGCAAGGAGCCGAGTTGATGAACTCCAAAAAATCACAGTCAAACTGAGTGAAGGGAAGACGGACACCCAGGTCTCTGAGGAAACACTGGTACATATAGAAATGGGGAGGGTCAGTGGGCCTCCCCATATACAAACCCTCGCCGTCCTGACAGGGTTCAAGCTGAATCATCCGAGAAATGGAAGGGTCACAAACCCGGTGTGTCTTCCAAATCGCGTTGACCTCAAGGAACGACCGGAACACGCTTTGGACCCCAGCCACATCGCGTTTGACCCAATCGTAACCAGGAACCCCTGGCTCTAGATCCTTAGGCGGATCACTCTTCTTCTTAGCGGCGACCTTTCCAACAACCGCCGCCTTGCCGCGCCCCGTGCCCCTACCCCTGGCTGGCGCAGAAGACCCGACACCGCTCTCTCTACCCATCAAGAAAACGAAAAGACTCGAAGAAGGAAAAAATGGGAGAAAGGAGAGAGAACAGAGAAATCAAAGTACCTGGTACCCCTTTGACAAAAGAAAGAGTGATTAGGAAGAGGCGAAACCCAGTTGCCGGAAACAGCGACGGAGACTGAACGGAAGCGAAGGTGCAGGAAGCAGCATGCGCAAGAAACTAAAGAAGAAAGAGAATGAAAATAGTAAAGTGAAAGAGGAAGGGGTGCGAGTAAGAGAAAAAGGGGGTTTCCCAAAATTCAAACAGCCACAACACGTGTCAGCCAGGGGACACGCCTGATCACGCATTAAATAAGGCCATCATTACATAACCGTCGAGCCCATTAACGCGTCGGCCTCAGTTATCGAAATGAGAAGCGAGAGTCACGACACACGACACCTTGACAGGCCGACGCACACGAAAGGTCACTTCCCTCCAGCGAGCTCGGTCTTAATTCCTCGACCTACGGTCTTCGGAGCTCGGGGGGCTAGTGTAGTATCCGTATGATGAAACCGAGCTCTGAGCTCGGCATCACAACACAAGATGACCCCGGGCACATGCCACGCGACGTCAGCTCGGCATTTAAGTAGATCATAACTGGTCTCAGGGAATCTCGCTCCAGGCGAGGTCCATTACCTAACCTTATCATATCTTATCTCAGGCCCAAAGCCCAAAACAACCCTAATTCACACTAAGGTACGTGCATTATTTATACGAGATTCATACTCATACAAACCCTAACTTTAGCATCAGAGTCTCTTTTGCAGGTACCACCTCCATCTTGGAGCAACAAGCGTACCGGTGAAGGAGGCTCATCGACCTTACCCGGGAGATCACCTCTACGGCAGATTTCCAGTAAGAACAGAATTCATCCGAAATATTTGTTTCCATGCCTCCAACATGTGATACATAATCTTTTAAATTCTAAGAGCTTAGATTTTAAGCGTAACACTCAACCATATAAATCAACTTGTAAGGTAAGTGTTGCCCTAACTTATATACTCTTTAATTGCTTTATTTTCAATCGATGTGGGACTTAAAGTTTTTTTAAAATATTAAACTTATAAATTTAAAATTTTTTTTATTTTTCCTCCAGATTAAAATTTGCAGGAAAAGTTATCTACAAATTTTTTCTACCATTTACTAAACATTACTTGCGAATTTATTTTTGCAAGAAAATCTGTAAGAAACAAAATAAAATTCTTACAATATTTTCTGCAAATTTTTAGCATGGAAAAAAATTTCTATGATTATTAAAAATGTAGCAAAATTTGTAAGAATTTTATAGATCGGTAGATCAAATATGCAATTTTTTTTTAAAATTAAAAACTATTGGATACTTTGTTTCGTTAATTCAAATCAACGTATAGAATACTTTTATGATCATTTGCCAATTTCAATTAAGGAAATAGAGTATCCAATAGTTTTCAATTTTTTTAAAAATTTGTAAACTTGATTTATGTATTAAGAATTTTTAATGTAACAGTTGGATCTCTAAAATTTAATGTAGAACGTGAATTTAATGTGGATCTTTAAAATTTTCACTTAACCTTAGGCTAACCCATGGTTCCCTTTGACCTAATTTTCCCTATATATTCTAAGTGGCTGAGCATTGTAATCACTTTTGGGATTTATACATGAGATTTCTATCTTTGAATTCTCTCCTCTCCGAAAGTCACTCACAAAACCTACCTCTACCCTCCTTGAGCTCCTATCTTTGTAGAGCTAGGTTGCCTTTACTTCTTCTGGATTTAGCTTGGACAAAGCATTGGTCACTTTGATGCTTCTTGGAGCTTCTTTCCTTGCCACTCTTCCAAGGAACCGAGAAGCATTTGAAGGTGTTCTTGAGGATCCACAAGTGGAACCTCATCATAAGAACAGCTACACCAATTGGTGGAAAGAAATGAGACAAACTAGAAGGAGTTCCAAAAATTGACAAGCAAAAATTAAAGCACAATTTGAAAGGCTAGCACACAAAAGAATTCCTAACAAAGGCACTAGAATGGATTACAAAATCAAAGCTAAGATTAAAAACAAAAATAAGACTCAATGTATATGGCTGGCTGAAAATGTTAGAACAAATATGCACCAAAAAAATTGAGAGCTATTTTGCACTAAATTTTCACTCCTTGGCTTTTCTTGTGTTCTTTCTTTTTGTTTTCTTTTGTAAATTCTTTTGTTCTTTCTTTTTCTTTGTTGACACAGGAGTTTAATGCCTTTTAAAACATGTATAAGTCTCAGATTTAATAGGATAAAACTGCTGCAAAAATTGTCACACAAAATAAGAGGCATTCACATGCATCATTCAACTAGTGCTTTACAATTTTTTAGTATTTTTAGGTCAAAAATTTAGGCACTATTTTCTTTTGTTTTTCTCATGAATTAAGAACACATACACCTTTGTTTTGTCTCTGTTTTAATGCTTTAAATTTTGATATAGGTTTCAGCCACACACAAGACTCAAGGAAACCTAATAGGAAATAATGTTTAACAATTTTTTTGACAAAACTTTTAACAAGACATAATAGAAACCTAACTCTAGGAAATTTGTTAGAACTAATAGCAAATCATGAACTCAATCATATAAAGAAAAGGAACATTTAGATAGGTTCAGATTTATAAGGTAAAAAGACGCACCAAACTATGAGTGAAGAACAACACAAAAATTAGGTCAAACAAGCTAGTCTAGGATTTAACAACATACAAAGGACTACACATGACTTCTAAGACAAAACAAGTGATTCAAAAATAAAACTAATGCAATATGAATGTTGTCTAATCACGGACACATGTTAAGGAATGGAGAGACTCAAACAAACATCAAAAACGCACAAGAACAAGAATCCTAAAAGCACAAACCGAATTGATTCACAAGAATTAGAAACAAGCAAAATATGAATCAATTACTTCTCATGAGACATATAGGATCCATCAAAATGTGAAATAAAACTAGATCCATACAGAAACACAAATTTAGACATAGGAGAAGGAAGGAACAACACGAAATCAATGAAAAAAAATTAGAACACAAAACCTCAAGAGCACTAGGCTCTAGATACCAAAAATGATGGAACTACTTGGAGAAGCTTGTTGAATCTTCAAGTGCTCCATTCCAAGACCGTTTTACTCTTGAGGATTCCTTGAAAA